CTGTGTGCCAAGAAGAGATCAGGAGCACCTACTGTGTGCCAAGGAGAGGCCAGGAGCACCTACTGTGTGCCAGGAAGAGACCAGGAGCACCTACTGTGTGCCAGGAAGAGACCAGGAGCACCTACTGTGTGCCAGGAAGAGACCAGGAGCACCTACTGTGTGCCAGGAAGAGATCAGGAGCACCTACTGTGTGCCAGGAAGCGATCAGGAGCCTCGGGGTGGGCAGAAACCTCCCGTTGGACACGTTGTGACACAGGTAAGTCAGGTCCCCAGTGTAAGTGGTGAGGACTGAGGAGAGGGCAGCAGGGGGGCCCTGTGGGGCTCGTGGGGGACTGTCTCGGGAAGGATGGTCCAGGATGCCTTCCTGGAGGAGGAGGCCCTGAGTAGAGATCTGCATGATGTGGGCGGGGACCACCGGGGTGCCCCTCCCAGGTGCCCCTTGTCCCCACCCTGCTCCAGAGAGGAGCTGGAGGAGGGGCCGGCTTCACACCACGGGGGGGGCAATGTCCATGAAGCCCACTGTCCTCACTGACCCCTCCACATCCCAGGCACTGTGTCAGACGCCTCTGCTCCCTGGGACCTTCCTTCTGGCCAGAGAGATGGACAATATTCCCAAGGGCACAACCAAGACAGCACAGAGCCTGGCACAAGGGCCTACGCCTGTCATCCCAGCGGCTCCGGAGGCCGGGGCAGGAGGATCACCAATTGGAGGCCAGCCTCAGGCACTTAGCAAGGCCCTAAGCAGCTCAGCAAAACCCTGTCTCTAAGTAAAATACAAAATAGGGCTGGGGACGGGGCTCAGTGGCCGAGTGCCCCTAGGTTAAGTCCCCAGTATCCAAGACCTTGGTAGCTTGCCTACCATGTCAGCCGAGCCCTGCCTCCTGCCATGGCCCCGCCTCCTTCCACGGCCCCGCCCCTGTCATGGCCCCTCCTCCTGCAGAGCCCCGCCTCCTGTCATGGCCCCGCCTCCTTCCACGGCCCTGCCCCCTGTCATGGCCCCTCCTCCTGCAGAGCCCCGCCTCCTGCCATAGCCCCGCCTCCTGCCATAGCCCCTGCACACCTCTCTGTTCTCTCTGCCTGGGGTCCCACGGACTGGTCACCAAGTTTCTTTCCACCTTTCAAGACCCACTGGCCAGACCACGGTCAATCTTGGCTGTGTCACCTCTGAGAACACCCCCACACACACACACACACACACACAGTGCTGGACCCTGCCGCCGTCTGGTCACTTGTGGCCATGGACTGAGTTACACGCACCCCCCTAATTCACATGTTGAAGTCTGGACACCCCCCACCCCGGCTCCGGGATCCCCAAATGCGACTGCAATTGGAGAGAAGGTCTTTGAAGTCTCGGTTAAGTTACAATGGGGCCATTAGGGTGGCACCTGAGGCCATCGATTGTTCTTAAGCCAAAGGGGACGAGGACACGAGAGATCCAGGGCACTCTGGGAGGACACCGAGGACATAGCAGCCTTATCCCAGCAGCAGGAAACCAGCCCTGCCGCACCGTGACCTTGAACTTGCAGCCTTGGGGGGGGGGCCCTGAGGGACCAGTGACCCCCTGTTGATGCCCCAGGCTGAGGGGCTTGGGCACAGCCAGCCAGTCTGTCCCCAAGAGACCATCAGGATGCCGCCAACAGGCGTGGCCAACACCAGCACGCGGCCTGTGGCCTCGGTGGCTGACTTGGGATGGACGCACGGGCCCTGCTGGCCACCGGAGCGAGTCTCCGGACCTCTGCAGCTGCTGCTGGCGTTGTGGCCCTGGGCTGGCGAAGGTCACCCTGCTGTCCCAAGACGTGGCTCTGGGGGGCTGAAGGCCATGCTCCCTCTGGCCCAGGCCATCCTGAAGACCAGCCCCACCCCCTGGTTTTCCAGTTCTTGGGCATTCATAAAGTCCCCCTTTTGGCGGAGGTGGCCCGAGTGGGGCTTGGGGACCAGCATCCAAGGGGGATCAGACCTGCTGTGGCTGGGGGCCTTGATCTAGGCAGGAGACCCCAGAAGGAAGATGAACCAAGGAGCCGGCCCAAACTGAGGGCCAGGGAGGAGGGCAGGGCGAAGAACCTGAGGGCCAGCTGCCCACTCCACGTCCCTCTCCCCTTCCCCCTCGCTCTGACAGCCCAAGCCCTTCTCAAGGTGGCTCTACGGAGAAAACTACATTTCCCAGCAGCCCTTGTAGCTAGGCATGGCCATATGACTGGTTCTGGCCAATGAGATGTAGGCAGATGGTATGGGGGTGGAGCTTCTGGGAAGGCTTTTCAAAGACAAGCCAATGCCCTGTGGTTCAGAGAGTGCCCAGGCTCCAGAAGTCCAACGCCACCACCCTTGGTCCCCGCCGTCAGAGAGCGGCCCTGGGTGGCTGTGTATCTCCAAGAGGCCACCCCGGTGAGGACAAGAGTCCCGATGTAGCAAGCCCTCATCCCTTCCTGCCTGGGAGGACTCACCAGGGGCCTTCCCTGCCCAGCCCAGCCAGGCTCATTCTTTTCCTGGGCACACCCTTGCTGAGATCTTGTGGCCTCCAGTCACGGTGGCCGCTCCGTAGACATTTGGTAAATGCGTGACCCAATGAATGGATTCTGTACCAATGCACCTTCCAGGATTAGACTGGATCCTACGAAGCTGCCGATTGGGTAAGTCAGTAATCATGGAAGAGCGGCCATTTGCGATGGTTCAGGCCAAACTTTGGCATCCGAACCCACAGGCAAAATCCTCCAACCCTTCCCGCCAAACAGGGTCTCACTGAGTTGCTGAGCGCCTCGCTTTTGCTGAGGCCGGCCTCCCAACTTGCCATCCTCCTGCCTCAGCCTCCCGAGCTACAAGGGATGACAGGCGTGTGACTTTGCCTCTCCCTGAGGTCTAGTTTTCCACTTGCAAAGGTGAGCCCTCAGGTCAGGAAGAGGGAGAGGAAGGGCAGGGGATTCGGGGCTCAAATTTCTGGACCAGTAAGATCTCAGAAAGGTGCGTGGATGGGCTCAAGGCTGGACCTCAAACCCCCAAATCTGACCTGCCCTGACTCTCCGCGAGGGTCCCCAGGGCAGAGAAGGGTTTACTGCACTCTTGGTGCCCCAAGTGCCCACGGGTGGAAAGATACTCTGCAGTGGCCATTCCCCACGGGCCAGGGCCTCCTGGAGACCAGTATTGTTCTCCACCGCCTTCCTTCTAGAATCTTCTCACGATTGCCTCAGATGTCAAGCGTGTGGCTCAACCAACACTCTGTGGCCTGCGTCTGCCGGCACGCCTGTGTGTGGCGGGCGCACGTCACCGCACACGCCCGGCCCCCAGAACACAGGGCTTGCAAAGTCCGGATCGTAAGGCACCAGGTGGATTTGTCGCAGGCACAACGGGGGAGTGGCGGGGATTGCGGCAACAAAGGGGCTGCCCGGGTCCATCTGCTGCAAGCTGCAGCAGTCTCAGCTCCATCCACAACCCGGTGGGACCACACGGGCCAATTATTCAGAGAAGCAGGAAATCCCTATTTTGAGGTGCAATCGCTCATTTCAAATGTTGGGGCCTGCAGTTTCCAACAGCACGAACACTTTTTTTTAATTTTTTTTTACTAACCCCCGGACATTTGCACCGACCGACCCATTGGGTGGTTTGCAATTGAGCCTGCCATCCTGATACCCGGGTTCAAGTGATGTCCCCCTCTATTGAGGGGCATTGTTGCATGGCATTCTCCAAGTCTCCCAAGAGCATGCCTGTGTCCCTCAGAGCCCGTAAGACCCCCGCGTGGGGTGCTGGGGTGAGCACCTACCCACTTTGAGCTCTTTCCCGAAGACCGTGCGCTCCCCCAGCGCTGAGCAGTTCCAGCGGCCATTGCGGAACTGAAACTGACACTCGTCTAGGCCCATTTGGGAACCTTCTCCAATGACGATGATGGCGTCCGGCCGGCTCTGGCAGATCGCCCGCTGTCTGGGGGCCAGGCCTGGGATCTTGTTACAGATGATGCTGGCGCCCAGAGCGACCACGGAGGAGAAGCCACTGGAGAGGGGACACAGAGAGACAGAGGTTGAGACCCACGGGAGCTAGCAGGTGCTGCAGGTGGCTGGAGGGACCCTGTGGGGGGGGGAACCCGTGGCTCAGGCCTGTCATCCCAGTGGCTCAGGAGGCTGAGGCAGGAGGATGGCAGCCTCAGCAATTTAGGGAGGCCCTAAGCACTTCAGTGAGACCCAGTCTCTAAATGAAACACCAAATAGGGCTGAGGATGTGGCTCGGTGGTCTAGTGCCCTTGAGTTCAATCCCCCGGGTACCACACACAGGGCCCCTGACCTGGCTAGGTTTGCCATCTGGGCTTCTTTGGCTCTCTGACTGTGTGACCCTGAGCTAGTTACCCACCCTCTCTGTGCTTCAGTTTTTCCATGGCTAAATCAAGGGTGTTGGCAAGTAGTCCTCATCTGGATAGGGTTGCTGTCACCATCAAATGTGCTAAAACAGAAAGGGCTCAGAAGGTGCGGAGGGAGAGGTGGGGGCTGGTGCCATTAATCGCTAAATGTGGCCTCTGTTTATTATTTGGGGGACCTGATGGCTGTTCCAAGAGGCTGGCTTGCAGCTGGGATCTCCTGAATGAGGCCCATCAAGGTATCCCACCCATGCGCCACTCTCCTCCCCAGGAACAGGGTTGAAACCTTTCCTGGGGGCACTGGGCCACATCTGGGGTGGGGGGGGCCTGTTGTCACTTTGACCCTTGCCGTCCCTTTTACAGATGGAAAAACGAGACCCAGGGCGCACCAGAGCCGGGCCCAAAGCCACCCGGCCCCTCCCACCTCG